AACAGCTATGGCCTCAACCTAACAGCGATGGCCTCAACCTAACAGCGATGGCCTCCACCTAACAGCGATGGCCTTCACCAAACAGCTATGGCCTCTACCCAACAGCTATGGCCTCCACCTAACAGCTATGGCCTCCACCTAACAGCTATGGCCTCCACCTAACAGCGGTGGCCTCCACCTAACAGCGATGGGCTCCACCTATAATAGCGATGGCCTCCACCTAATAGCGATGGCCTCCACCTAACAGCGATGGCCTCAGCCTAACAGCGATGGCCTCAACCTAACAGCGATGGCCTCCACCTAATAGCGATGGCCTCCACCTAGCAGCGATGGCCTTCACCAAACAGCTATGGCCTCTACCCAACAGCTATGGCCTCCACCTAACAGCTATGGCCTCCACCTAATAGCGATGGCCTCCACCTAATAGCAATGGCCTCAACCTAACAGCGATGGCCTCCACCTAACAGCGATGGCCTCCACCTAGCAGCGATGGCCTTCACCAAACAGCTATGGCCTCTACCCAACAGCTATGGCCTCTACCCAACAGCTATGGCCTCAACCTAACAGCGATGGCCTCAACCTAACAGCGATGGCCTCCACCTAACAGCGATGGCCTCCACCTAGCAGCGATGGCCTTCACCAAACAGCTATGGCCTCCACCTAATAGCGATTGCCTCCACCTAATAGCGATGGCCTCAACCTAACAGCGATGGCCTCCACCTAACAGCGATGGCCTATTTGCGTGAGGCTGGCGCTTTGGCTGTTCAATCCTTTTTGCTTCACTATCTCCACCAGAGGAAGCCGTTTGGTCAGGTTTACTGCGTTTGCGCAGTGTTTTTCTGACTTCACGTCGCTGAAAACAAGTGATGTTCTCAGGTGGGGAGTCAGTCATTGCCGTGTTGATCCACGCAATGATCTATTTTTTGGAAAAGGAGATGCTTGGACTTGGACAGCTATTAAGGTTGGAGGCCATCGGTCTTGGGTTGGAGGCCATCGCTTTTGAAACAGACGCAATGTGGAACTCTTCCTGTCCGTCCTAGCCTCCAAGCTCGCTACTTTAACTACCATACCTACCTCTCCTAATTTTCCCTCGCGACAGCCAACCGCAAGTGAAAAAGCAACGACGCATGCAAAGCATGTGCAAAGCAGTCAAATCATGGCCATTTCGTGAGGAGAGTCAGCGTTGCAGCGGTGCTCTTCGGCCTGGCTGTGCATTGGCGAATCTACCCGGCCCCTGGGAGGAAAACGCAGTGTGCGTGTGAACGTGTATATTTAGTGAACGTGTATTACGCTGCTAGGACGCTACTAGGAGCAAAGGGCATCGCTACTAGGAGCAAGGACGCTACTAGGGGCTCCTGACATCGCTACTAGGAGCATTCTTACTACTAGTAACAAGAAGCTACGTTCGGGGCTCCTGGCAACGGAGCTTTTTCCCTTCACTCCGATTCATTCGCTTCTCCGCTAGAACCCAAGACCTGAACATCGGCGAAAGGCAGTGTCTAGTTGTTTGCTTTGACAAACGAAAAAAAAGGAAAGGAGAAGCAGAGCAAGGTGATCCAGGAGCAAGGAAGGAAGGAAGGGTGAGAGAGAGAGAGAGGAAGAGGAAGAAGGAAGAAGAAGGAACTGTCCAGGGATACACGCGGGAGCTGTATGGTGATGGCGGTGTCGTCCTAACCTCCTCAGACCACGGCCTGCTAGGCCTTGCAAGCATGAAGGGATGCACTGTTAGAAAGGGGCAATCGCTGGCAATAACACTGTATTAACACTGCTTGATTGCAAGAGCTGAATTAATGTACAGCGCTGGTGCATCCAAACCGCGACCGACACGAGTTGGAATTATTCAGCCAATCTTTTCTCCGAACATCTAAATTATTGGGTCATGTACTCAGGGCTAGCCACTACGATCCGCGCCAAATATCTTTCCAGCCCAATTGTGCACTCAGAGTTTCTTATGGAAAAAACGAGTCGGTCGCCCGAGACAATACTGGCTGCATTACGCAAAAAACACACTTTTGAACATATCTTCGGAGGTTATGATTACACAGAAACTGTTGCTGAAGATTCCCGATGCCACGGCACACACTGTTGCAGCCTTCACTCGAACTTTCTGATATGTAAATATGCCACAGCTTCTTTTGGCTACGCCAACGCCCTGCATTATATGACTGATGTCAGTGTGGGAAACAAGGTGAGCCCGGGGACCCAAAAGCAAAAAGAAGCGCGCAACCCAGGAAAAATAAACAAACGCACTTTAGCAGGCCAAAACGAAGCATCAGCCCCCTCCAGGCTTCGTGGCAAACATGATATTTCAAGCATCGCGGTTCTGGTGCGCATCCGTCCACCCCCGTCTGCCACATACACCCCTTCCAAAACGGTCATAAACGATTGCAACATGGCTTCTAACAACCCTTCCACGAAGCGTGGAGCAGCATCAGCTCCCTCTATGCTTCGTTCCAACCATGAAATTTGAAGCATTGCGGTTCTGGCATGCAACCATCCTGCCGTTTCTGCAATGACTTGGGCTGTCTTCGGCATACATTGCACACATTCTGGACACCCAAGACCGTCATAAAGGCCGCGCCAGACAGTTCCACTCGCACAATAACGTTCTTCCGCGAAGCATGGGGTAGCAGCCCCCCATGCTTCGTTCTACTTAACATCCATCTTCCTTCCACAGCCCCGTCCACGCCCGTCCACCATCCCATCTCCATCCATCCATCCATCTTCCGTCCACGAAAATGCTTGCCTCGTCTCGCTCTGCCTCCCCACTAACGACTAAACTAAACGAGAGCCCAAGCATCGGAGATTCTTTTCGGAAAAGCACACACACGTCCCCTCCATGCTTCGTTCCAACCATCAAATTTCAAGCATTGCGGTTCTGGCGTGCAACAATCCTTCCGTCCAAGACCATCATATAGGCCCTGCAACACAGCTCCCCTCGCGTCAGAACGTGCTTCCGCGAAGCATGGAGTGCAGAACTACCCCCACCCATGCTTCGTTCTACTTGTGAACTCCCGGAGCAGCCTGCAATGACGCTTGTGGTGCAACTCCTCGTAACTAGCATATCAGCCGCGCAAGATCGCTGCACTCGTGCAACGACGTTCTGCCGCGAAGCATGGAGCAGCATTGGCCCCCTCCATGCTTCGTTACACTTTCCACCTTCCCTCCACCGCCCCGTCCACACCTATATGCACCTCCACACCCCCTCCCATGTCGCACCCGGGACCCTCACTTCCTTCCCCAACCCACGCACCTCCCGTCTCGCTGTCCACCGCATGCACCTCCCGTCTCGCGCCCCTTTCCTTTCATCCACAGCTCCGTCCACGCCCACGCACCTCCCGTATTGCGCCCTGTTCCATCCACAGCCCCGCCCACACCCATCTTCCGTCCACGACAACGCTTGCTTTGTCTCACTCTTCCGCGGCACCATCAACTAAACGAGAACCCAAGCATCGGAGATGCTTTTGGGAAAAATGTTTGAGCTTACCTGTAGAAGAGGTCCAGGGCCTTGCCTCTCACTCTATTCCCACGAGCTTACAGCGTCTTTCGTGAGCAGTGTTTGTCAGCCGCGCGGTGCCCCCATCGACGAATTAATTGCGCGGTACTTGTAACAGAGTCTGCTGAGCGCCGCATGACATGACAGTTGGAGTGCTAGCTGCTGCATCCACAAACACTATAGGCCAGCTTGAACGCAACAAGAACCATGAACCCAAATAGGGATCTGAATTAAATCAGGAGCTTCGATTCATCAGTCTCGGGTTTCCAGATGTGACAAAATCCGTGCTATCTAGTAACAAGAAATTTTTAGGTTGTGTTTGACGTTTCTTAGTGACTAGTAGCGTGCTTGCTCCTAGTAGCGATGCCAGAAGGCCCTAGTAGAGTCCCTTTGTTCCTAGTAGCGATGCCCTTTGTGAACTTCGAACCCCCCAAATTCGGTGTTCGCGGTGTACAGCCTGAGGGCGAGACCGAAGCGGCACATGCAATCGCAAACCTGGCACAACCGACGTCCTGGCATCTGTCGCAAACCGACCTCCAAGAAACAGTGTCCACAGGAGGCTGGTACAAGGCCCATAGTGCCGAGATTGCTTTTGGCGCGACAAGGCTGAGATCAATTCGATGTTTGCCGAAAGAAATCATAGCACAAACGACAAAGAACATCGATGCACTGCAATGCTATTTGGTTGGCTTGGCCAAAGTCCGAAAATGTTTCGCAAAGATGCACAACTAAACCACAGTTGCACACCAGGCAACTCCTTGACGGCGTCTAACTTTACAATTCGACAATTGGTCTATTTTTCTCCGGGAAAAATCCCAGCAAATGTTCTTGGCGCCGTATTTTCACAAAGCTGATTAGGGTTGAAATCTACCATTTGTGTATGTCAGCTTTCGTAGATAATACGCTGTGTTCTGGTTCATGAAAGGGTTATCTATTTTGGTATGCTTTTCAATTACCTCCTCCTTTCCCTTCTGTTGGAGGCCATCGGGCCATCGCTACTAGGTTGGAGGTCCCTTTCTTCGTTTCCTTTCTTTGAGGCGGATAGATCCTTTCAATCCAATCTTGTGTGCTGCACTCAGGTGATCTATGTTCCTGCAATAGCCGTCCGCCTTTCCCATCGAGATTTTCTAGGTGATCGGTGATTCTGTGACAAACATTTCGTGAGCAAGGAGTTACTTGAGTTTGTCGATTGAACTGCATAGGTTTTGCCGTGTTGTCCTTGAGCACCTTTATGGTTTTGGTTGCCTTCTTCTACAAGCTCTATGGCATGGAATTCCTCCAATGTGCTTACCTGCACCACAGTCAGATATCCAGATCTGAGGTACCCGAAAAAGACGTGCTTTGTTTGAATGAATTTTGCTTGTGAAGTGCGTGCAAAATGAAACATGTTAGTCCGTGATGCTTTCCAAGGTCAACGGAAGGATCCACAACACAATTTCTCAGCGCCAGCGCCAGTGCAGCTGCAGCGCAGCATGTTTTGCCGCGAAAACACAAGACAATAAGTGAAGAGGACGTGGAAGGAAAATGGACAAGCTCAACTAGAGTTGAACTAGAAACATTCAAACAAGTTTTATCGAAGCTTCGAACGTGAACCGTTTTCAGGTGTACTTTTTCTTGGTGAATGGCAGCGCTGATGTGACTCGTTTCGCTTTTCTCCCGCAACTTTGTTTGCTGCTTGGAAAGGAGAAGATAGGTTGGAGCCCAGCGCTACTAGTAGCAAGGACGCTACTAGTATCTCTGATGTGTTTTATTTATTTTTTGCTGTTCAGTGGCAAGAAGCTACTAGTAGCTCCTGGCATTTCTACTAGGAAAAAGAAGCTACTAGTAACTAGTAACAATGGCATTTCTACTAGTAGCTAGAAGCCTAGAAGCTTCTATACTTTCTGTTTTTTTTGTTACCTATTTTAACTTATGTATTCTCTTCTTTTTTTAAAACTATGTTCGCTCTTCCCACAGGTCAACCTATTTGGGACTCCGTTCGAGTGGCGGGTGGGCTCCGGTCTTTTTACTGCAGACCTTAGCTTTCGTGGCCACCAACAAGGTCCTCACCGAAGCTTCGGCGAATTAAAAGAGCGGTCGCTAGTAAAAGGGGGGGTAGGTACCGGGCGCTAGTAGCTAGGTAGGTAGTAGCTGGAGGTATGTAGCTAGTAAGGTAGCTAGTAGCTACAAGAACGCTACTACTTAGGACGCAGGATAGCGCTCGCACTAGTCATTTGGTTTCTGGATTTTAGAGGAACTTGACTTGCATTATCAATGTATCGTTTTCGTAAGAAGAAAAATCTTGTTTAAAGAAATGTGATCTTCGTTTTGTTCACATCGTTGTTTGCAAATATACTAGAGCGAGTTTGACCCCGACCTAGGCCCAATACTTTGTTTGGTGGTTCTGCCTGCTACCAGCTGTCCCTCTTTCGCGAGGTGTTTGGCCCCTCGACTTCACTTGAAAAGACGCCGCGCACGGTGTTTTTCAAATTTTGTCTTTGTGTATGGTAGGCCTCCAACCTAATAGCAATTGCCTCCAAGCTAGTAGCGATGGCCTCCAACCTAATAGCAATTGCCTCCAAGCTAGTAGCGATGGCCT